GGGGTTCCCCCCCCCCCCCCGCCTCGAACCGCAATGAACAGCGCCGCGCCGGGTGCGCCTGGACTGCACCCCCTGTGGCGCGCCGTTGCGCGCGATCGGGCGTGTTGCTGCGTGGCTGGCTATGTATTGGGGCAAGGGAGGATTGGGTTGGGCGCGCATGCGCGTTCTAGCGGGCGTTGACAGGTTTGTGCGGCGCCCACGAGCCCTCACTTGTGCTCACGTCTACAACGGTGCAACTGAGCCATTGGCGGCGTGCGTCCCCCCTGCATCCCCGCTGGCCGCTCCGCTGATCCGCATGGCATGATTATCGCTTGCGAATTCGTATAAGGCTGCAGAGGGAGGTGGAGCTTGCTGCTAGGCACGGCGGTTACGTGGGGTGACCCTGGCGGCGTCGACGCAGCACCACCAGCCAACCAGTCGGCGTGCCCGGCAAGCCTGGACGGCCAAGGCGGTGAGAGTGAATGGTGCGATAACTTATCTCGAAATTATACCACCGCCATTGGGCCGGGGAGGGCCCCATGTGCGCGGACCTCGACAGACGCTACAACATTGTGTTGGTGCTCGCGGCCCGTGCTTTTAGCGCACCCCTTCATTCCTGCGATTGTATCGCTTGTTTACATCGCAATTCACCGACGTACAGGCGGGTCCACCCATCCCCCAGCCCAACTCCGCAAACACCACCATGATCCTCAGCACCCCTCAGATGGCCTCGGGCCAGGCCTGCAAGCGCGCGGCCGCGGCTCCCGCCCACTGCCTGCCCATTGTCGCGGCCCCCCGCCGCCGCGCCGCCTCCCGCGCCGCGGCCGCGGCCGCGCTGCCCCAGAGGGCCTCCAACGTCGCCCCCCTGCGCGCGACCCTCGCCGCCGAGGCCACCACCGAGCACCCGGTGCAGTTCGAGACCACCAGCCTGAACGCCTACCTGTCCCGCCGCCACGAGCTGGTGCTGGCCCACTTCCCGACCTCCCTGGGCGTGGATGACTTCATCAGCCGCGTGGAGGTCGCCCTCTCCGCCCACGGCTTCCGCGGCGACAACTCGATCGGTGCGCGCGCGCGCGCCGTCGGAGGGACCGGAGTGGGCGCGCCGGACGCCCCGAATTGCGGCCGCGGCGCCGGCAGCTGGCTGTAGGGGTGGTTGGCGGGCATAGACGCGGCGAGCTGCGGCGCGGCGGGCCGCCCGGGGCGGCGCCGCCCCGTGGCTCCCGCCGGGCCCCTCCCACGAGCTTTGGCGCCAACTCCCAGGCTCCCCTCCCCGCCCATTGACC